AACTGTTCAGTTTATAGATGTTGTGTTTTCAGTAATCAGACTACTCTGATCACGTACTGACTCTTCCCTTCCAAAACTTGGGGATTTGAGAGATTACATTTTAATGGCAAATGACAGCAGCTTTGCCCATCTGTGATACTCCTTAAGGGCTGATGTTACGAACGGCCTCGCTGGTGAACCTCCAGCGTGGTGAAGTTCTCGCATCTTTGTCAGTTGATGTATATAGTCAGAGAAACCTCGAGCTCAGCTAATGGAAAGTGATAGCTTCCTATTAATGTTAGCAAAAATTTGTTTCACGTGTGAAAGAACACGAGGTCCCTCATTTGACACCATCAGTTTGCTCATTTGCTTTGAAATCGCTGTTTGCACAGCTGAGGCTGGTGCTGCTGCTCCCCTCCATCCCATCCCATCCCATCCCCAGAATGTGCTCGTGTGCATCGGCCTGAGCTCTCCCCTCTCCTTTGCTCCCCTGCACAGGCAGCTCAGCCCGATGCCGTTACCAGTAATAGCAGCTCGTGCCATTAGAGCTGCTTTTGCAGATTAGCAGCAGCTTTTAAGACTCTATTAATAGGAGAACCTGAATCACAGAGGGTGACTTAATGCAAGATCTCACTCACTGATTAGTTTAAATCTTCCTTCTTTTGTATAATGAGATTTGGTTCTTAGGTTTTTATACGTTGTTTAAATAATGTTTATAAGCAGTTCTACTCTTGCCATTACATTTATCAACATTTTCCAAGTTTCAGTGTGCTTTCTGGTGTTCACAGGCATAGGAAGCTCTCCCCCAGCTCTTCCCTTTAATCACACACACACAAAAATAGTTCGTTGGATTTCATTTCACGACTAACAATGCTAAGAAGGTGTTTGAAATGAGAGTACTTACTGTATTCACCTAGAAGCCAGCACAGTGTGTCTTTCAAGTAGGAGACAAAACACAGTTTCATAGAACCACAGAATGGTTTGGATCGAAGTGACCTTTAAAGTTCATCTAGTACCAACCCCCTGCCACGGGCAGGGACACCTTCTGCTAGGCCAGGTTGCTCCAAGCCCCTGTGTCCAACTTGTCCTTGAACACTGCCAGGGATGGGGCAGCCACAGCTTCTCTGGGCAAAGAGATTTTGCTGGGTTTGGTTTTGATTTTTAAATGTGAATCAAGCTCCAGAATCCAGAGCAAAGTCTGTTTCCTTGCCTTGTACTTCAGTTTGTTTGGAGAAGGACTTGCAGCGCGGCCATCCCTGAGGTCCTTAAGGCAGTGAGTATTGTCCCTTCACCTCCATCAAGTACTCTGGCCAAGCGTTAGTTCACAGAGCAGGCAAGGACAGTGGATGTGCATTGTTAGGAGATGGAGGAGGGACAATTTCTCTTGGCTACAGTTTGTATGGAGAGGTCAGGTACCACCATGCCAAGGATGACACATCTTTCCTGTGTCCTGTACTATCAACTCCCTAATTAGGAGAAGAAATGAGCTGGGGCAGAGGAGTGCTTCTCTGTGTCAAGTACGTGGCTGGTCCTCCTGGGAATCCATTCCCCACCAAAGATCTCGTGGCCATCACTTACAGTGCAAGGTCTGTCAAGGAGTAATGTCAGTGATCTGCATCTTCCAGTGCCAGCACTGCATCTTTCTGTGGAGTCAGTGTTGGAGAGAGCTTCAGCAGCGCTTCCCCCCCTCGCCCATGTGCTTTAATGTCTTCTGTGACACAATATGTAGATTTATTCCTGTTTAATTGGAACATGTGAAGATCTCAAATATGTAGCCTGTTCTGTTCTTGTTAGAGAAAAGCCACAAGTGACTAATTAGTCCATTTGATCATCTGGATGGTATTTATACATATTTGTTCTTCATTAGCTCCAAAACGTGTTAGTCACATTTGAACCGTGCAGTTGCTTAATCATATTGATCAGAGCAAAGTTGAGTTTCCTTTGGAAATTCTGGCGTTTTTCTGAACTGCAACTTTGTGCAATGATCCCTTGATGTTCATTTGTCTTCTGTGTTTTTTTGCCTCGCTACCAGTGCTTTCACAGGGGAAGGAGACTCCTTGTCCCTGCCTGGGCACTTTTAAGCTGGTTGGTCACAGTCTGGGAAATGCTGCAGAGGTTGTTATCTCCTGAAGTTATAGCCTGTTTCTCCATAATACTGGGTGATTTTCATTGCACATAGTCTCCTAGCTTGGTGTTTGGAAGAGTCTTGATCTGTAGGTGCCTGGGGCCAAGGGCAAACCGCCATGCTGAAGGAATGGCGGTAGGATGGAGGTGCCCGTCGCTGGGTGCAGAGCTGGGTTGCTCCTCTCACTGGGTTGGTGTGTCTCTGGTGCGTGGTGCTGTGGTGGATGGGAAGGCAGGGCTGTTCCCAGCGTGGTTAATTCCACCCCGGGCTGGGGCTCGGCAGCTCCTCGAGCCTTTTCAATGAGCTTGATGCTTGCTGGCCTGGTTCCACTCCCCGCGGCTGAGGCTTGAAGCTGAACAGCAGGAGAGAAAAATTGCCTCACGAGGTTAGAGGCACGGTAAGCGATGCACTTCCAAATGTCAGCTCTTGTGTTTCCTCTCCTTGTCAGAAGAAGTCAAGAAATGTGTGCGGAGTCAAGCTGTACCTTGAAATAGCAACACACAGCACCGAGTAGCGCAGAAGCTACAGCTCTTCCCTGGAACGGCGCCTGCCTGGGATTGGGAACAGAAAGTTACAAACTTGATAAGTAATAATTTGCTCCACCACGATGATTGTTAGGTGGAGAGTGGAAGCGCTTACTCTGATTACTGTGAAACTGCCTATCGAAGGATTTGATTGATTGAAAGATCAAGTAAATACCAGTTGCTGCTTTCCTTTAGTCGGTTTTATGGGTTTTCCTGAGGGTTTTTGTCTCGTGTTAGTGATCAGAAAATGGCTTTTCATCAAGCACGTGCTCTGTTGTCTTTCTCATTGCAGTCCCGCCACGCAATCTGGTAATCGATATCCAGAAAGAAATCGCCGTTGAGGGAGAAGAGATTGAGCTGAACTGCACTGCCATGGCCAGCAGACCAGCCACCACCATCAGATGGTTCAAAGGAAACAAGGAGCTCACCGGTAGGTGCATCCTCTCAGTCACTTGCTTTTTCCAGAGCTGACATTTCAGGCAGCTGAAATGATTTAAGTAATGCCGGGGATTTGTTCTCTGTTGCCAGTTTAAAGGGAGAAAATAAAAGGAGAAAGAGTGGAGCGAGCTACTTTGAACGCCAGCTCAGGAACAAAGGAGTGTGTGGGCAGACAGCTTGTTCTCGAATGCAGAAGGGCTGGACTGCATTTGGGGCTCTGCCTACCTGCCAGACGCCAGTAACAGGGCTCTGGAGCCTTTCTATAGCTGGAGGTGACCTTGAGCCGCCCCAAAGCTGTGCGTTGCCTTCTCTTCTGCAGCGGTTTCTGCAGCTTTCTGCCCAGTTTGAGGTGCGGGCGGGATCATCAGCGCTTTGGGCTGTGAGGATTTTCAGTTCACCTTCACATCCAGCTCTGTTGTTTATAGAGTGTTTTCTCTGTGTTCGGTTTGAATATTCATGTGAGATGTGTTTCTCCGACTCCCCGAAGTCTGGTTGCTCCTGGTATTTGCACATTCAAGTCACTGACTCTGATTGCATGTGACGTGCTGTTAGTTTAAGGCTGCATGTAGATGTGAGCTTGGTTGACAACACCTTTGTGCTTTACCCAGTCTGAGATACTGAAGGGTTCTCCAGGCTCGTTACTTCAAATCCTCCCCCTTCTAAGGGCAGGACAAAATCCTCTCTTTAAGTCCAGCACCTGCGAGCATCCGAGCAGGACCCATGCTGGGAGCGTGCTGAAAAAGGTGCAACATAAACCTGTTGCCACATGAAGGGATGTTCCACTGATTCCTAGCACCGGTTGTCACTGGTGGTGGTGCAGATCTTACCTTTCTGGCTTCCTTCCCCATTCTGGTAGGCAGCAGTGCAACAGTAGTGACCCTTCATCTTGTCCTGTCCGGCTTCTTGACTGAGTTTTCTTGTGTTGGCAAGTGAATCCCAGCTTCCCTTTCCCTTTGAAGACTGCTGAGCTGGGTAGTAGCTTCTTGCTCACCCTGCTGATTCTTTGCATTTTTGGTTTTTTACACAGAAGCAGGGAAGTTGAAATACCTGCTTGTGGGTTGTGAATAGCAGGACAGCACGGCTTTGCGGATCAGAAAGCCTTTCTTCTAAACATCATGGGGTGTTGCTTTCTGCATCTGGCCTCTCTTTCACTTCAATATATTATACAGAAGTATTTTGTGTTTAAAAGACCTCTGCTACAGGAGCTACCCTTAATGTTTACACTGAGAATTCTTAAACACAGAGCCACAGATAAGAGTATCTGAAAACAAAGCGGAGGTGCATTGTCAGCAGGTACCTGCTGTGTTCCTTTTCCTCCTGCCTTGTCTGTTGTTCCTCCGTGTCTCCATGTTGTGCCTTACGGCATCCCTCCAGCAGCCAGCCTGGAGCAGCACTTTGCTCCGACCAGCACCACAGTTCCCTCCTTCAGCTGGAGCACCACTGAAACGCTTCCACCCATCGATACCTCTTTTAATGGAGTTAATCTGGTTAATCACTTCTGTAGCTAATTGTTGATTCAGGAGTGGGAGGGATTTGCAGCTCATTGATTTAAGAGTTTGGGGATTTAGGGATGGTGGGAGAGGATCGTTAATCATTGTGGTAATGTAGCATTGACTTCAAATGGCAACAGTCCCCCCCTAACCCTCGGAGCCTGCCGAGTAGGGACGGATCCCTCCCGCCATCACCCACCCTCTGCTCTCTGCCCTCTCCTCCAGGCAAGTCGGAGGTGGAGCAGTGGTCCGACATGTACACAGTGACCAGCCAGCTGCTGCTGAAGGTGGGACGGGAGGACGACGGCGTCCCTGTCATCTGCCTGGTGGACCACCCTGCTGTCAAGGACCTGCAGACGCAGCGCTACCTGGAAGTCATGTGTGAGTAGCAGCACTTTTCATTCTCTTAACGTATCAAATCCCTCTACTTCAGAGTTCAGGAACTACTCTGAAGGGAAAATGACAGCATTGATGGGGTTCTATAGTGTTACTCAGAATGCTGGGTACCACTTCAGGGGCTAAGCCACGGCTTCTCCTGGCCTGTCTGCAGTACGATAAATACATACCTTTATGCTCTTAAGAAATAACTTTCTGTCCATAGACTCTGCACTGTCAAAGGTTCCTGGCTGGGCTTTATACTTGTCAGAACAGATTAAACCTGAGTATTTTTCTCTTAGCAACCTACCTATCTCTTTGAAAAACGCTTCTCTACTGCCACATCAAAGTGACTGGTCACCATTGGGAGTTCACTGGCAAAAACTCGGTTCTGTGCAAAAGAAACTCAGTGTTGTGCCCTGCAAACACACAGCCCCAGCTGGTTTTTTAAGGCAGAGGAACATGGTGTATGTGGAATCTGCAGTAATGCTGCTGATGAAGGCCAGCCTGTTTTCTATAACGCTTCTAACGTGCCTGCTGTTAATAACACATCTCACTTTGTTTAGGAACTGTGCTGCTGTATATGACATTAACAAGGTTTAGGAGCAGGTGCCTGGGAGTGCTGCTGGTCCCAAATGCAGCCGTGCCCTGGTGCAGCTGCTGGGGGGGATGAAGGAGGGAGACGCTGCATTGTCTGAGCAGAAAACAGTTCCCAAAGCACAGTCAGAGAGTCCTCACAAAGCTGGGGAGCTGGGGCCTACAGGGGGCTTGTTTGTGGAGGCTCACTTCAACTGGAACATCACTTCAGAAGAAGAGGAGGATGTTTTGTATTAATTTATTTCATCTGCTTCATTATGTAGTTTCATTATGAACATCTTGGTTACAATTCTCATATCTCTGAAACTAGCGGGAAGTAATGTTCCTGTAATGAGGAAAACAGAAATGATCAGATACCACCTAAATTGGCAGATACGAGATTTCTTGCGACCGAGCTAATGTGTAATTCATTTATGCAAACTTAATGTCCATTAACATTTCTTGTAGAGCTCCATTAGCTTTAATAATACATTAGCACCTTTGTGAGGCTTGATCAAATACTTAACGGGGGGGAAAAAAAATCCCATCTCCCCTGTCTATGCAGAGGTATTGAAACGTTGCTGGGTTCTTCCTCTTGTTTGAGAGGACATCAGCTCACCTTTAAGCTTCCTTTCAGAAATTCCTCTGGAATACTGATTGTCTGATGGGATAGGAGATGGCTGCTGTCCTTTTTCTGCGAAAACATTAACATTTTTTCCTCTCTTCCTCAGATAAATCCTTTCTGACTACTTTTGTCTGCAGCCTTTACAGGGTTCCCCATGCTGTGAAGGTGAAGCACACATGAACTGCAGTTAGTTGGATGTCCTACAGGACACATGCTGACTCCAGTGAACACACTGGAGGCTGCGCTCGCACCCAGTGCCCAAGTTTCTGCCCTTAGCACTGATTTTAGTGTTCTTGTGTGTCATTCTGGAGCCGTTTGTTGGACCAGAGCTAGCACAGAGCCTCCTCAGAGGGGAGCGGGGATGAGCAGGAGAAGGGCTTTCAGACTGGTTTCTGTTTATGTTCTAGTCTGCATTAAACTCTGAGCTTGTTAATAGTGATTATGGTGATATATTGGGGACCTGACCCACACTAGTCCGGTCAGTTCCTGCAGTGGGCAGCAGCAGATGGCTTGAGAGGAGAGCACGGGCAGAAGAACATGTTGTGCATCATAACCTGGCGGCTCCCAGCAGGTAGCAGCTTTGGGACTCCTTGTGCTGGACGGCATCCAGACATTTGCATTTAGTGCCTGCTGCTGGGCCTGAGATCCGGGTGGGAGAGGCTGTTGCAGAGCAAACTTCATCCTTGAGCTGTTCCCCTTCACGCTGATGGTGTGTTGGGCAGGAGGAAGATCCTGTTGCTTTCACTGAGAGGCATCTCCATCAGTGCTGCTGCGGACATGTGCTTCCCTCTTGAGGAGATGAGGCGCCTACAGTGAGGCCTAATTTTGATATGTTCTTGATGGCTTTTTAGGGATGGGCTTTGCATTTGGAGCAAAGGACTCCTGCAGCTGCTGGTGGTTCAGTTCCCCTGGGCACGAGGTGGAGAGGCCTCGCTCCAGACCCCTTAGCTTTGCTGCTCCTTCAGTCCTTGCTCTTCCATCCTCTCTCTGTAAGTCCTGCCCATTCCCTCCAAGGGCACAGCAGATCCGCCTCCTCGGGACATCATCAGGGCACAGGAAAATGTTTTTCTCAGCAGACGTTGTATTTCTCTGCACTTAATGTATCCAACTGGAGCATGAAATGTGTTGGGGAAGGACAGGAGCATGATGGATGGAGCCTTCTCGGGTAATGAGGTATTTTTTGACTAAATTTCAGAGCACAGGGAGGTTTTTTCTAAGATGCAGCTCAGAAGTTGTGGGTTGGTTGTGTTGTTTTTCAAGGAAACACCAGGCAGGAATCTGCTCGCAGCAGCGTGTGCTGGGAGGAAAGTCTGTTCTGCTGCGCTCAGCAAAATTGGCTCGTGATCAGTATTAACTTGTCCTACTCCTGGAGTAAGCTATTTGTTACATATGTAATGTGGCACAGCCTGGCCCTTTGTGAAGGTGAGCGATAAATGTTTCCGTGTGCATGTAGGGGATGCTCTTGAAAAGAAATCTGTGCAAACAAGCACTGTGCAATACGTACGAGAGGCTCCTGGTGATGCCTCCCAAAGCAAACAGAGTTTGATCAATGGTGAGAACATCCAGGAGAACATTCCGTGTGTGATTAACAGCACACAGGGAACCCAGGGCAGCAGCCGCCACAGTGCGCTGCCCAGTCCAGGTTTGGGAAGAGCCCCCGATTCCAGCTGGAGCTGCTTTCCCTGTGGGATTCTGATCTGCCGGTGAGGGATGGAAGAGCAGCGCGTTGAGTGTAATTTTAGAAAGGAAATGAAGCAACAAAACGCATTAAAATATCATTAAGGAATGGAATGGAACCAGATATTCTCGGAGACATTTAAGTTCAGCCTTTGTGGCGCTTATCTCATTTCATGAGGCTGGAAGCAGAAGTGTCGGGGTCCTGATGTGGCGTTTTCTGTGCATTGCTTTATTTTTTGCCTTTCTGAAGTTATAATTAATTGCTCATTCATTCTTTATAACATCTGCACGTGTCCTGTTAAATAACGCACCGATGGAATCTGTTACAGCCTCTGCTGTTAGGAAGGAAGGATTTTTTGTGCCAAATTATGTTAAAAATGGGCCATATATATGTATGTGTGCTGCTGCATCTCCAGCAAACCTTACGTTTGTTGCATACAAGTATTAGTTGCATACTATGCAGCGAAGTGATTAACATCAGTGCAATTTATCATCTGGAGATTTCTAAAAAGGAATAAATGAGTTGTTTTGTTCAGTGAGGTGCTGACCCCTTCAGAAACTTTGATTTAAAGCTTTTTTTTTTTTCCCTTCCTTCTAGTGCATATGAGAAGTGCCACAATCAGCCAGGTGTTGTTTGATTTTCTGGGGCATTAGCCACTCTTGTTTGTGACATTTCCCAGTTGGGTGCTCATTTGCAAGCTCATTAATAAGGTTTTCTCGGAGTGGTGGTGTTGGGGGCAAGGAGCTCGTGCTATGGGCTGGACTCTGCCTTTTGTGGATGTTAGGCAGCAGCACGCACTTAAATACTGAAGAGGGAGGTGTTTGTAGCCAGGACGCCTGCCTGGCCTTGGCTTCCCTTTTCCTGCTGCAGGCTGAGTGGTCTTTGCAAGGCTCTTCCAGACGAGTTGTGAGCTGCTGGTCCTACACTTACTTGTTATTGCAAGCACAGGAGCTATTTATTTACGAGGCTTGTGCCTTTTGGCTGAAAACCAGCCACTCAGACTCATGTCCTTGCGAAAGGTGAGGAGAAGATTCAGGCTTGCCAGGTCTGGGCTGCCTCTGATGCAGGCTTCATTTCCTGATAAGCAGTCCTGTGTGATTTCAGAACAGAGGGGACAGTTGTATTTAACCCATGTATAAACGTTTGCTTGGCCTTCTAATAGTGAGGGACACACTCCTCCTGCCCTTCTCCTGGCAGTCACCGTGGAACCTGCCAGAAGTCAGGGTCTGCATAGTTTGGGGCACAGAACAAAGCAGAGGTGAGGAGCTGGGTTAAGTAGCACCCATTGGCAGACAAAGTATTATCTGGGGGGTTCTGAAGCTGAAGTGACCTAAAGTGGGCAGAAACCCGCAGGATCTTTCTCCTGAGGATGCCATCTGTCATTGGTTTTGCCGAGATACGCACATCAGGAATTAATGCAGTAATCATAAAAAGGGTTTTACACCTTGGATGCAGTACCTGATGCCACAGTGCAGGCAGGAGCGTTTTCAGCTGGGTTGCTGAAGGAATGCATTTGATGCTTCTCTCTGTTGGCAAACACTGGCATTGCAGGAGACACCGAGCCATGCGCTGCAGACCCGCTGCGGGGCACCTTCATCTGCTCATGTCTGCCGAGAAGAGACCAGCCAGCTACAGTCTGTGCAGTTTGCTTAATGTCCTGGACAGCCCTTCTTGCTGCGTGTTTGCTCTGCTGAGCATCCATAAGCACTTGAACCCGCTCCTGCTTTGGGGAGGAGCTCGGGGACCGCCATCCTCCTTTCCAGAGCTTGTCTTCCCCATCCTTTTCCTTCTCCATCTGTGTTTTCTTACAGTTTCCCCCCAGAGCAGCACATGAGGCTGTCAACTGTCTTCTGAGCTCAGCTGGGAGCACATCAGCTGGGGAGGGTGGACTAGTTCCTTGCAGGTTGGTGAGAGTTAGGAGTCACCTGGGCTTCGGAAAAGAAGTAATGCTTCCCAGAATGTTTTCACCGACTGTTCCAGTGTGGGTTTGGGTTCAGGGTGGACAGATTGCTGCATTGTAGGAGCCGTATTGCTTGCACGGAGATTGCTGGAGGAGCGGGATCTGCTGCGGTGCGATGATTCAATGCTGGTAGGGTTGGCACAGCCCCAAGGAACACGTACGTGGAGTGCAGTGCAGGTTTTCTATGGCAGTGTCTGGTGGCTCTTGTGCACAGTGAAATTAGTGGATGCAACCACAGAGTTGAATTTATTGCATGTAGTTTCCTCATTATGCACATTGTGTTTGTATTTCATGGGAGAGGCACAAGGGTGAGAACGTAACCATCTTCCATGTGCTTCCTTGCCTTTCCCAAGAAAACCAGACCTCTAGTCAAGTCCATGGTTGTACTCCCAGATAAAGTCATGCATCCTGGTTCTCGGCATCTCTGCTGTCTGTGGCATCCAGAGTTCAGCCACGGGGCAGGTGGACAGTGAAATCCATGTGCTGCCACCTCTGGAGCGCTCCCCATGCACCTCCAGGAGCTTTGGAAGTTCCAACAGCCACTTGGGAAGAGGCACTTGAGGGACAGCGGGAAGCTTGCCCACGGCTTGATGGACCCAGCCAGAGCATCGTGGTACCCTGGGCACACGAGGAGGTCGGGCTGGTGCTGTGCTTTGAGGCAGTGATCGTGCCTGCTTCGGAGATCGTAGGTTGGCCTGATGAAAGGGCACGGGTAGGAATAATAGGCTTAGGTGTTTGTAAGGCACCGAACTTGGTGCAGGGTTTTATCTTGGCTGATTAATGCCATCTAAGCGTTATCAATGGAGCACACATTTAAATGGATTATGGAATTGCTAACTGGCACATCTCAAAGGAAAGTCCTTAGGGAGTAATCAGCAAATGATGGTATTTTTAGAGCAAAAGCACCGGCCCGAGTGCTCGTCCTGATGCTGTTCAGTGCTCTCAAGAAGTCACCGCTAATAATCTCTGCTGATGGCGCAAAAGCTGGGTGAGGAGCTGATAAGAGTAAGGATGGGGACAAATACAGGAGAACTGGAGAGTTCTGTTGACTTCCAAACCATGGAGCTTTAAAGCTGGGGAACACCAGTATGGGCAGCCCGGGGTGGACGCTGGAATCGGAGGGGAGGTGTGCTCTCCTGCTTTGGCCATGGCCTCCCTCTGTCTGAGCAATCAGCACGACCCATCAGTTGGGGGAGTCTTCAGCATCTCCAGAAATGAGAGCAGAGGTGCTGGGACAAGGAGCAGGGCAAGGAATGGGGTGTATGGTCCCGTTGGGAAGGCTGCAGCTCCCACGCCAGCAGGCACACAGGGCGCCTGCTGTAAAAGAAATCTCATCAAACGCAGAATGGGTTTGTAATAAGTTTTTCAAATTGGTTGCTGCTACAGCGTAACCTTTAGACTACTGGTATTTAACCTTGTATATCACTCTTAGCTTTTGAATGAATTGAGCTTAATAAAGGTGCCTTATTAAATTACCAGGCTGGTTTTTTAAGCCGCTGGAAATAGGCATACGAGGAAATAGCTTCAGGTTGTTAGATCTAATTGCCTGCCAGTGGTGTATGTAGCGGCCTGGATGCATAGATGCAAGTGCTTGTTTTTATGGAGTAATCCAGTGGTATGATAATATGAAGCTCCAAGTCAAGGATCTTGGGCTGCTGAAATGAACCTGGGGGTAAAACCTCTGCTTCTTGCTTGGAGTCCTCGGTCGCCATCCAAGGTAGTCCTTGCCCAGCTCATGCAGCCACAGAGGCCACCACTTGAACATGGTCTTCTTAAAGTGGTTAACAGGCAGCAAACTGCGTGTCCAGGCTTTGAAACCATCGTGGCTTTGCTGGCAGAGGCTGTTAAATGTCACAGTCTCGTGTAGGAGCTGAGCTGGGGATCCCACGGTGCTTGGCATTTCGCAAAGCTTCACTAACAGAGTCCATCAGCTGAAGAAAATAGACTGGCTTTGTCCAAGGCGGGTGCTCAGCCTTTCCAGTAGAACTGAGGATTATCTAAAGGCGTGTTCTTAAAGCAGAAAAAGACACCACCATCACCCTGATTCTTGGTGGAAGCAAGTGGAGGGTTTTTTGTATACCCAGAGCCTAATTAAAAGGTCGGCTTTCCTGAGTGACCAGCCATCCTTCTGCATCCTTCAGGCTTGGGAAACGCTTGCATGGTGCCTGCTGTCATCACCGGTGCACTGGCGAGTCCCGCGCAGGAGTGATGCTCGCCGTGAATAGCTCTATGGGATCACTCTTGTTGCCCTGAGTGCACTCATGGGTGTTGATAAAGCCCCGAGTTCCCTTGCAGGTGGCACTTCTGCGGTGTCCAGACCAACATGGTGGGGTTGCTGTGCTGTTTTGCTTAATGAAGGCTGGAGAGCTGACGTGGCCAGGCTCACCTACCCCCTGCACTCAGGATTGCTCGTTCCAGTGCAGCATGCAGCGTATTCCCAGTTCAGCAAGCCTTCAGCATATCCCTCTTGTTTTCCATCAGGAATTGTCAGCTGGTGAGCAGCTCATTAGAAATAGTGGAATTTATCTAAAGCAAGCGGGATGGGAGCAGCAGGGGAGGCAAGCTGCGGAAGGCGTCGCGCAGAGCATCCTCGGCGCAGGGTGCCATCGTCTTTGTGTGCCCATGGAAATCAGGCGGGGAAGGTTTTCTGTTCTCTCTACAGCACCGAGCACAATA